GGGATAAAGCCTACTTGATCATGATGGATGATTGTTTTGATGTGTTCTTGGATTCGGTTTGCTAGAATTTTATTGAGTATTTTTGCATCAATGTTCATAAGGGAGATTTGCCTGAAGTTCTTTCTTTGTTGGGTCTTTGTGTGGTTTAGGTTTAGTAGAAGAAACAGGGATTTCTCTGCTTCTTAGATTTTGACTAGCTACACTTTAATCCTCTAACACAAACGTATAAAGCATCAGTTTTATTATTTTTAATCAATAACTGACAAAACTTATTCGAGTCATTCGTCATCTTCAGTTTGAAATCTGATGTGAAAGATGTGCCATATCTATAGCAAGTCCTAAAGCCTGATTAGTTCTAGAACTATCTCAAGGGTACAGAGAACGATACCTAGCAACAAGTTGGATTTTCTTCTGTCTTGTGTACTCAAAAGGCTTTTGCAACAGTTGTGACAGCTGCTGAGAAAACAGATGCAAATTCTACAGTCTCAGAAGAAATGAGTGAAGTTATCCAGTATCCTTTTAAAACCAGTTCTACGGTGTCCTAGTAACAGTATTTTAAATTTCCAGTTTCTTGAACTGGCTAGGTCATTTGCTTAGATGATAGAACATTTGCTTAAACAAAGGGCCTTGAATTCAAGTCCCACCACAAAAACCCCCATCTAAAAATTCATGAATATGTACTGCTTCTCAACCATACCATCCTAAAACAACCTTGATGTCTTAAGTATCCTGAATTTAGTCTGAGATCAAACCTAAAATTCTATTCTCAATTTACATTTGTGTTTCTAAGGAAATTGTCATTATTAAATTATCAACTTTTAAAATATACTTTGAGAAGTTTGGGGAGGGGGTGATTCTTACACAAATAGTGTTCAACACTTTTCTATTTGCTGTTCGTTCATTTGATGTTTTTGCGAGACAAGGTATCATGTAACCTCACCTGACTGGCCTCAGACTGCCTCTTGTCTCAAGTGCTGGGATTCCTATAGCTGTGCACTGAGACACGCAGCTCCATTTGAACCTTGTATTCTGATTGTACTTAACGTTTTCCAATAGGGTTATATAATTCAGTATTATTTATTTCAACCACTTGTTTCACTTTACCAGTTACTATTTCAACTTTGAAATTTCATTTTAGTTTTTTTTGTCAAACAAGCTAAACACAAAAAACAAACATAAACCCTAATTTTCCTCAGCTAGAGCCTCCAGTGCTCGATTTATTAGAGCTGTTTCTGAATTAGAACTTTTAGGCTTTATAAAACCTACAAAACAGAAGACTGACCATGTTGCAAGGCTCACATGGGGAGGCTGCTAAAAAGCAAACGAGTGAAGATAAGAGTTCCACGGCTAACTTAAGATGAAAAGCAAATCTGGTATATTTGCATATTTGTATCAAAATGTTCTTGGAGTACTTCAAAATCTAACAAATACATAAAGCCTATACACATTATCAGTATAAATTACTTCCTTCTTGTCTAGTGTGCAGATGCTACAACTTCTTACATAGTTACGTCTCAGCAGCACCCACTCTAGAGAACTCGCAGCACTCACTCCGAACACCAGTGCACTGTATAAAATCAATCTTGCAGCTGCTAGAAAGGCTCTAAAATTTCCTCTGCCTCCCCATTTCTTGTAGTCTTGGCAACTTACCAGGCCCAAAGCTATTTGGCTTTATACTTAATATAAATATTCACATGAACCAGTAAGGGCCTTCACAAACTGTTGCCCTAACTTAAAAACTCAGAAATGTGAAGGTCCAATGGAATAATATCTTGATCTCTTTCATGATAAGAACTTAAGAATCAGACACCTAAAGCTCATTATTTAATGTTCAACCCTCAAGAGAATTATAACAAAATTGTTCACAAATGATTCAGGGAGCCCATGTCCAGAAAAAGCTTTTTTTTAAGCCTTTACTTTGACTTGTACTGCAGGGTATGTGCCAAGATATGGTCATGCCCCCATCCCCAAGTGCTAAGATTATATGGAATTTACATTATGCTCAGATGAGAAAACATGTCTTTAAATAAGACAACATTTTATGCATATAAAATACAGAGGAACTGGCCTTAATACTGGCTTATTTTTATCTTGTCTTTCTGGGGCATATGTTCTTGCTTATATTTTTCTCTTCCTAGGCATTTACACCTGCATTTGTGCATGTATGCACATTGACTTTTCTCTCTACCACCTAAGATTAACACAATGGAAATTGTTTTCATACTATCAAAAGGACCTGTAGGACTGAACCATTAAACTGATTTGTGTAATTACTTGGTATCCTATAAAATCAATCCTTAGTTGAGGTGCATGGCACTTCCTAGATGTTTTAGGAAAGATCAGTGTTTTCCTCGTCCTTTATTTAGCAAAACACTATTACACATACAACAGAGTAAGAAGTAGGATTGTCACTGTGGTTTTAAAGAGTGGGCAAAGCAAGCCTCACTTGAGGAGTAAAAAAAACCTACCCAGGATTTATGAGTGAACCCACCAAGCAGGGAAAAGCAGTAACCAATGTCCTAGGGTGGGAGTACCCCAAGCATCTCAAAGGCAGAGACAACTAGAATGGGTAAGGGGTTCACACAATGGGAATGAATGAATAGGACAAGAGTAATGAAATGAAGCTGCAGGCAATGAAGCTTGTTTTCTTAAGTAAGAAGCAAGAGAGTAAGCCTTTCAGTGATCAATGTGTTGTGAGAGCACAGTTAGCTGACCACTGACTAACCCAGGTGGGCAAGCCGTAGAGAAATCCTAACAGCAGCAGGGCTGGTGATACTGTAGATAAACTACAATTAGACGCTCTAACCTTAAGATCCTTTCTGCTTATAAATGTATAAATAGCATTGTATCAGGGCTTGCTATGGCCACTATGGTGGCACTACTCCTTGCTTGTGGAATCTCTAGAAACTAAAGTCTAATGGGAATTTCTCAAGTCACTGGGAGCATGGCCCCGAGGAAAAGGGTCCAACAGTCCTCTTAGCTTTAGCTCTAAACTGGACTCCAGCCATGTCTGCTGCCTCATTAGAGACCAGAGCAACAAGGACAACTGATCATATACTGAAACCTTCGAAATGGAATTAAAATAAACTTCATAGATCAACCTGAGTATTTTATTGTAGTTATGGAAGGCTAATTGATTAAAATAAACAGCAGCAAAAATGAGTTTGGCTTTGGATATAATAAAATCAGGAGATACCTGTTAGAAACATTCCAGTGAAATGCTACACAGCAAGGTGAACAAAATCTTGTTATTAGAGAAGAGATCACCAAAGTAAGCACTGAAAAGAGAGGCAAGGAGATCCAACTCCAGGCTTTGAGGTTCGTGCTTATTTATAATTAGAAATTCAAGAGAACATTGAAAGTGAAAGAAATCAGGCAAGTATCTTAGAAGTCAAGTGAAGACGTTGACCCTCATATATTAGTCATAGATTAAATTAAACAGTGCAGTAATGGTAGGTAACTTGGTTAGTTGAAGATAAACTTACCAGGTGAGCTAACCAAGTATCAAACTGAACAGCAACCTGGGAAAAAGCCATATGCTTTACTTTATAATATGGACTCCATAGCATCACCTTACATTTTTAACACAAAAGGTTTACCCTAAACACTAAAACAGTTCACAAGTTAAGAACTTACTGTTCTTCTAAAGACCAGAATTTGGTTTGTGCCAACCACAACCACATCAGGCTGTTCAAAACTGCCTGAATTCTAGCTTCAGGGGATCTACCACCCTCCCTCTGGCCTCTGAGCATTTGCACACCTATGTGGACATACACAAGTATTAAAATTTTTAGATTGGTTTAGTTTATAACTTCAAAAAGGACAGGTCATGTTAATGGTAGCAGAAAAAAATACTCAAAGTACAGTTCAGTCTTTCCAGAAAGTTGGGAATCTTGATTGAATCCTTGGGAAAAGAGGAGGGGTTGGAGTGCTAAAAGCACTTGGAAAACGGAGAGATAAATGCAGATAGCATCTACTTCAGATAGACAGCTCGGGAGGTCAGAGAGAAGCATGTATGTTTGGAACTGACAAGCACAACTTCCGAACACGGTTTAGCAGTTTATACTTGAAAAATTCAAGTAGGTAATGACACTATCTGTTCAACTTCTATGAATGTTTTCCTAACAAGTTGAGGGCTAAATTTGAAAGATAATGTGGAGATTTTAGTTGACACAATGCGGTAAGGGGAGATACTATTACCACTCTAGAATGCACAGATTCATCCCAAAGTACCAATAGTATTGAGACTGAAAATCTAAGTGTGATATCTGTTCACTTTATAGCCAGCTGCCCTGTTTTATAACTTGTGTTTCTTGTGCACTAATGGACTTTCGAACTGCCTGGGATCTTGTGAAGCCATAAAACACACTTTGGGGACTTATTTTTAAATGAGGTTAGTAAGTTAAAAATGAAATAGTATATTTTAAGATTAGTCTAATGACTGGACGTATGCTATTAAAATTCAAAGGGGGCCAGAGAGATAACTCAGCAGTTAATATTTGCTGCTCTTGCTGAGGACTTACGGGAATTTGGTTCCTAGCTGTTGGGCAGCTCAACAACTGGCTATCTTATGGCCTCAGGCACATAAGCATATACAAATAAATTTTTTTTTAAAAAAAAATAAGAATTCACTGAGCAATATTGAGGGGGTAGCCTTTAACACCTAATCTTGCCCCAACTACCAATATTCAAGTGTGTAGCTAATACTTTCACAAAGTAGTGAGAAAGCTTTGTTTGGAAACCAGGTGTGGAAAGTTACATTTAATTCATTAGTATTAGTGTTTTGTGAAAGTATTTAATGTTTTATGTATGTGTGCTTGCCTGAGTATATATGTGTGTACCACATTCACATGTGACCATGGAGTTCAGAAAAGGCATCAGTTGGTAAGCTGTTGTATAGGTTCTGGGAACCAAACCAGAGCCTTCTGAAAAGCAACCAGAGCTCTTAACTGATGAGCCCCGCTCCAGCCCTTAGGTTAATTTTATCATCTCAACAGTACCTAGAATTTTCTAAATCTCAAGAAGGCTTGTCTAAATCAGGTTAGCCTGTGGGTATGTCTGTGGGTGACTGAATTGCCTTAACTAGTTAGGAAGAGAGCCAACCAGAAAGTGGGTGGAGACATCTACTGTACATTTATTCCTCTCTGCTCTTGTGGCTGCAAGCTCCTGCTCTTTTGATTTCCCCACAGTGATATAGACCTGGAATTTTGAGCTAACATAAACACTTAATACCCTAAACTGCTTTTTGCAGGGTTATTTTATAGCATCAACTAGAGCAACCATGCTTTCATATATCAAATCATTCAAAAACATCAAAACTGGATTCAAAGGCAGTTCTACAGCTGTTTTAGAACTTGTTATATAACATGCTGTTATACAGCAAGTTACAGAAACAGTTTTTGAATTAGAATTTAATTTCTGAAAACAGCATTTAAAAGGTAAATATTACCAGAAAATTAACTTCATTGATTTCTAGAAAATACTTACATTTAAAAACACTACTTTATTCCAATACTACTCATGTGTACAATTCGAAAACAGGCAGAATAGAAGTAAATGTTTTATTTTTCCAACTAAACTCCAGTGCTACAAGGGCAGTAAAACAATAATACACTGGGGAGGGGGGTGCAGCAATAAACATTTGTTAAAAAGACTGATAGAATAAATAAAACTACCAAAAAAAATAATAATAAAGAAAATCATATAAACCCATTCTGAAACCCCAAGAAAAGTCCTGAAATACAGAAATGCCCTCCTCCTCCTCCACTATCTCACAGAAGTACTGTATACTAACTGCTTAAATGTCCTGGGATTACATTCTAAGTTATTAATAACTGGTTACAGCTTGGTTGTAGTGCACAATTAAAATCACACTAACTTCATCTGACGTGTCATTCTACAGTTTTATTTACATAACCAGTGAAGGGCATGTTCTAGAATGCCAGCTTTAATCCCTTTCAAACATTAATATAAAGAAGCCAAATTGTAATGATACAGCAAAACGAGGCCACTGGTATTAATACAAGTAGCAAAGGTCCACATCCAGGTGGTAATGACATCACGGAAATTTCCAAAACCAATTGCTGCTGCCTAAAAGAGTGGTTGCCACTGACGAAAGCTTGAAATAACCTGTATTCACAGATGGGTACTGGCATTGCTGCATGTCATAGTTGGGACCTCCTGCAACAACTCAACAAGGAACAAGGCAGCCCACAAATGCAAAAAGCGTGATTCATGAAACATCTGGAGGAGAAAAGGAATATTAGTATAGAGAATGGGGCAAAATGACAACAAACAAGATCATTCTTTCCTAACACCACTCCTAGATATTTAATTTGCAGCATTTTACTTCTGCTTTAAACTAACTTTTCTCCACACTTTTTAATCAACCCTCTTCTTAAATATGAAAACATGGGTCTTTTCAGTTTATAGTTCAAAGGTCAAATACTTACAACTAGCAGGCTGTTCTCCATATCGCCGCATTATCTGATCATGCGTAAACTTCACAAATGCATCATACTGTTCTATAAATAAAGGTAGGTATAAATTACATGACTTGCAAAATGTCCTATCTAATCCTTTCCATAACCTGAATAGTAATTGTGAACAGCTCAATTAAGTGTTTTCCACAGGATACAAAATAAAAATATTTAATACTGTAGCTGATATATGGGCTTAGAGAATGTTAATTCCTTTTTTTACTGAAATTCTCTGGTCCATAGACAAGACTATACTAATGTATAGAAAGAATAGATCAATGTAAAAACTCCCCTGGGAAACGATCCTTACAGTGAGCTTCTAGGTGTGGTGATTTGAGTAAGAATGGACCCCAGCATTTTATATATTTGAATTCGAGTCACCAGGGAGTGGAACTCTGAAAGAATTAGATTATAAGGTGTGGCCTCATGTCACTGGTACTAGTGATGGGGATGTGAAATTAGAATGTAGCTCAAGTATTGCTCTAGTACCTATCTGTATGCCGTACCTATCTCCAAACCTCTAACACGATAAATAAGCAAGCTCCCTGTTCTTTCGTAAGAGTTGCCTTGGTCAGGGTGTCTCTTCACAGCAATAGAACAATGGGATAGAACACTGGGATATTCTAAAATAAACTCATTTGTTACCTGCAAGTTTTGTGTTCAGTATTTCTTCATATTCTTCTCGAACCTTCTCTTCCCGTTCTTTCAACAAACGTTCACAGATCATCCCAACCTGCCTTAGAGTAAATAAGGGCTGTTCTTTTTTTAATGGTGAGGATGTTGCAGATGAAGTCCCTATGTACAACATGAATAAAAGATCACCTGATTTAGAACCACAAGACAATACCTCCTGAATGAACGTTTCATTGAGAACTTCATGTTATTTAAAAGTTATCATCAATGATAAACAGGCCCAACTATTAATTCTATCGGACTGCGACTCTGGAAAACGTAGTGTTACCTAGAGGAAAAGCCTAAAGATGAGTGGAGAAAACTTCAAAACAAAATCCTTGCACTGACAGTGCCATCACAAAATTTTCAGTCTCCATTCCCGGACATACCTAGTTCAGAACATGGAGTGGCTGATTTAAAAAAATCTACCTCTGGTCTAAAGCTTTAATTTATTATTAGAGTAACATGATTCTACTATAAAGACACATATTATTGTTAATGCTTATTGTTTATATTTTAAGGCCATACAGTAAATCACATCCAATTATTCTACCACTTCAATATTTTTCATTTTCCAAACCTCTTAGTTTCCTTTTTAAAAGAGAATTATATCTAAAAAAGAAAAATAGAGAATTATACCTTTAAAAAGAGTTGCTATTGGGAGAAATCTGTAATGCAGATCCTTATCCCTCACCAAAGGAACTGAACTGATTCTAAATTTTGAATAGTGACCATAATCCCCACTTTTGTTAATATAATTTAATTCATCACTTAAGTTCAAACACTCAAAACTGCAAGAAAACCAAAGCTCCAAAAACAGCCAACACCAGTGTTTGTCAAAATTTCAAATTAGCAAGAATCTTCCTTCTGTGTTTCCTGTAACTAAAAAGTTTAAGATAAAATCTCCCCCTCCCCCACCACAGGGTTTCTCTGTGTAGCCCTGGCTGTCCTGGAACTCATTCTGTAGACCAGGCTGGCCTCGAACTCAGAAATCCGCCTGCCTCTGCCTCCCAAGTGCTGGGATTAAAGGCGTGCACACCGCCACTGCTTGGTTCCGATCATGTTTATTCTTTGAATTGCACACTTTTTTTCCTCAGTTTTTCATTAATGATAACTGCTAGGAGAGCCTGCAGAGGGAAAAAATTCACCTGTATTTTATAGTTTCGAGTTCTGAAAGAAGATATTCATCTTTAAGGTACTTTAATCTAAAAACATTCTCGGCTTAAAGATCATCTGTGATAAATCTTTCTGATAACCCAGGATTATGATACCCGTTCACTGCATCCCTGTTGTCAAGTGTTACCTACAGATACGAGCACACTCATATGTTACAGTTGTTTTCTCATCTTGCTCTGTGGTGCCTTTATCTGCACGGACTTACCCAAATTAACAGAACTCCTGAGATCTGTCTCTCATCAAAATAAAATGCACTGCCTGCCTCTTTAGACGCCAACTACCAAGGCTATCCTAACTTAGTTTGAAATTTGATGTCTTGTTGAGACTGGCAAAGCCCAAGAATTAAACTAATAGTAGAAAACATAAGATCATTATTATAATTTTAGTAAGAATCACTCCTAGCCACCCCTCCCCCCAATTGGCAGCATTCCAATATTTAGCACTGAGCAATTTCCCTATCAAGTTTTAATTGATTACTTGATTTTATGTTTCTGTTTTGAATTGTATCAGGCTTTCTTATCCCTGCTAAGGGAAAACAAGTACTTCTGAAATAAAAACTTTTGACAGGGTAATAACCAAAGGTAAGATGGTTCTTTTTTGGCCAGGTAACTTAAGCATTACTAGGCCAGCTCTTTCCTATTGTAAAAAAGGAAGAGGAAGGAAGGAAGGAAGGAAGGAAGGAAGGAAGGAAGGAAGGAAGGAAGGAAGGAAGGAAGGAAGGAAGGAAGGAAGGGGAAAGGAAAAAGGAAAGAAAAGGAAAAGGAAAAGGAAAGGAAAGGTAGACCATTCTCTCTAAAGGGTGAATATGGCCAGGCAGTGGTGGCACACGCCTTTAATCCCAGCACTTGGGAGGCTGAGTCTGGCAGATTTCTGAGTTCAAGGCCAGCCTGGTCTACAGAGTGAGTATCAGGACAGCCAGAGCTACACAGAGAAACCCTGTCTCGAAAAACAAAAACAAACAAACAAAAAACAAAAAGGGTAAATATAGGTTTTAAAATTGATATACAATTTAAAAAAAAAAAAAAACAGAAAAAAGAAACCCACACTTTAAGGAATCTAGCCCAGTGTGACCAATGTCTGAGAGTACATGGACAGACATTTGTATAATGGTTCTATCAGAATTTTTGAATATAACTGCTACATCAATAATTATAGGAAATTCACAAAATGGCAGTTAGAGCACTATTACCTAACAGAAAAGTGTGCAGTGGCCTGGAAAGATACGATATCACAGTTAAAGGCACTTGTTTTTGCAGAGGACTCAGATTTGCTTCTCAGCATCTACACAACAGAGCTCATATCCATCTGTAACTAGTTTCAGAGGATCTGACATCCTCTTTGGGCCTCCATGAACACCAGACATGTAAGTGGTATATGTTGCACATACATGCAGGCAAAAGCATAAAAATAAATGGGTATTTTTAAAATAAATAGTAAACACTAGTGATTTTTGTTTGTTTGTTTGTTTTGTTTTTCAAGACAGGGTTTCTCAGTGTAGCCCTGGCTGTCCTGGAACTCACTCTGTAGACCAGGCTGGCCTCGAACTCAGAAATCCACCTGCCTCTGCCTCCCAAGTGCTGGGATTAAAGTTGTGCGCCACCACCGCCCGGCACACTAGTGATTTCTTAAATGCAAGTTATAATGTCCACTTTAGGGATGCTAAAGGTGGCTATCTGTGGTTGGTGGGAATACAGGTAGTTAATACTTTTAAAATATTATATATATGCTACTTAGTATAACTTTTTTTTTAGGTTTCTCATTTTTTAAATTTTTTTTAAATTAGTAACCTTTAAAAAAAAATGTTCATCAAAGGCTTTATAAGTTTGGTAATGCTCAAAGTGTAACTTTTTTAATCATGGCAAAAACAGGTGCTCTAAGTCATTGTGGGCATTTTGCATTACATTTCCCCCGTCATTTCTCATGTAATACTTCTTGTACTTATTAAGGTTTATTACCTGGTGATGCTGGTCCACTGATGAGAAATGCATGTGGCTGTGAATCAGAACTACAGCCTGGATCTGTTTGCTGAAAACTAGCTTCTAAATGTCTTCTCTTCTGCATACGTTTATACTCCTGTTTTATGTTGTACAGAATTTGCTCTAAAAGGAAAAAAAAAAATTTGGCAAAATCAGAATTTTCTTTTTCTTTTTTTTTAAATTTTTATTTATTTATTATATGTAAGTACACTGTAGCTGTCTTCAGACACCCCACAAGAGGGCATCAGATATCATTACAGATGGTTGTGAGCCACCATGTGGTTGCTGGGATTTGAACTCATGACCTCTGGAAGAGCAGTCAGTGCTCTTAACCACTGAGCCATCTCACCAGCCCCCAAATCAGAATTTTCATACTAAAGAAAAAAAAATCTATCCAAAATATTTCTTTCAAATAACAAAGAACCCTATGAACCACTTTGTTGAGCACACGTGGGGTTTTTTCAGAAGTAGCTTATCTTCTGACCTCTCCAGGCACAGCACACGACATGTACTCCCAGATAAACACATACACGTAAAATGAAATAAATCTAAAAATGAATCATATGCATGCCATCTGGAATTCAACAAAGGTAAATCCTATTTGTAAAACTAAATTTAAGCTTTTTACTCACAACAGTGGTCAGGTAATCGCTCTTCATTTTACTCAGACTAAACTCAGAGCTCATGTATCTGTTCTATAGAACTACTTAAGTTAACCAGTATTTCCAGTAATGAGAAAGGAAGATTATGTACATTCAAGCATAAATCTAAAATGACAAAGTATAAGAGAATTAAAATTTCATCATGAATCAAACTGTCAATAATATGAAGCACAATGAAACCCAAAACCATTCTAGCATTAACAGCAAAGCATTCTGAATCTTGTGGAGAAAAGCCCATATGAAAAATAATATGATACAGCAAAGGGTAATACAGCAACACATAAGACCACTGCACTATAATGCAGTCATCTTTTACATAGCCACTGAAACATAAGATTATACCCAGCAGATCATTTTTAAACCAATAGAATTCACTTTACCACAATTTCTAACTAAAAATAGGTACCATTTGATCTGCAGGAAATGCCTACCTGAGGTTTCCAATCCCCTTGTCACCTACCTCAAGATTTTCTCATTAACTCCTTTAGCTCAATGTGAGACTAAATTCCAAGAAGTTTATTAACCTCAACTGAAAGCAAAAGTGAAAACATCCAATAAAAACTGCACAAAGGAAAGGGTGAGTTTCTGACTCAAGACTCACAGTAACAATTCCTGCTCAATATTTAATAATTGGCGCCTTTCATTTTTAATTTTCAGTAGTCTCCTTTCTTTCTCTAAATATTCAGAATTTTAAATAAAAGATCATTGTTTTTAGGTTTTTATTTTTAATATATGTATGAGTCTTTTGCCTACATGTATTTAACTACATCATATACATGCAGTGCTTGTGGTGGCCAGAAGAGGGCATCTGACCTCTTGGAACTGGTGTTAAGGACAGTTACTAGCCAACTTTCAAAAAGACTAGAACCCTGGTACTCTGAAAGAGTAGCAGGTAATTTTTTAACCACCAAGCCATCTTTTCATTCTTCCTTTTTTAACTTTAAACACTTTAGATGCTGCCAATTCCATTGTGACTAAAAGAAAAAGAAACTAAAATGATAAATTCAGTCAAGGTATCGTTAATTCTGCCATTTAAAGGTGTGTATGTTTTATGTATACACAATCACACACACAAAATGCATGTGAATGTATAGTTCAGATATAAAATTACATATTAAATTTTAGGATAGCTGTGTGTGGGTTTTTTTGTTTTGTTTGTTTGTTT